GGCGGCGGACGCAAAAACGCCCGTCGCACCCCCACGCGTCCGCTCGCGCGCAGCGCCGACGCGCTCGGCGGCGTCCACGTCTCGGCGTCGCCGTCATCGGGCGCGGCGTCCATCGCGCGCGGCGTCGCGCGGTGTGCGGTCGCGCGATCGGCGTCTCGATCGATCGATCGGCATCTCCATCGCCCGTCACCGCGCGCGCGTCGATCGCGTCGGCGTCGAGATCGATCGACGCGTCGGCGTCGTCGTCGCGGTCGACGCCGCGCGATCGATCGACGCCGAGACGCGGGCGATCGAGACGGCGATCGATCGATGGATGGAATGCTGACTCGGATTCCATGCACCGAATCCACGATCGCGTCGACGCGACCGCACACATCGACGCCGAACGACGACGATGCGCGCGACGACGACGACGACGCGGACGACGACGGGCGTCGGGGCGAGGCGCCATCGCGCGCGCGCGGCGACGCGGGCGCGAGGGATGAATCAATCGCCGATGGCCGAAGGGGCGATCGCGACGACGATGGCGCTCGTCCTCGCGGCGACGCCCGCGTACGCGCTCGACGCGCGCGCGACGCGTGAGATCGTAAACGTGAGCGAGACGGCGTTCGGGGTGGATTACGACGCCGCGGCGAGTAAGAGGTATAACGTGCGGGAGAAGTACGCGAAGAAACCGACGCCCGAGCCGAGGCGATTCGTTCGACCGGAACGCGCCGAGGCGCCGGCGGTGGCGACGCCGGCCGCGGCGGCGGGCGGTGGGTTTTCGCTCCCGAGCTTTTCGTTGCCGTCGTTGCCGTCGCTGCCGTCGTTCGGCGGTGAGGGCGCGGCGGAGGCGCCGGCGGCGGAGGCGCCGGCGGCGGGGGAATGAGCGCGCGCCTCCGAGCGATCGATCGCGCGCGACGGTGACACATCGACGCGATCGCGATCGCCGCATCCACAAGACCACGCACGATGACCCGTATGTATGCGAGCGCGTGTAAGACGAACGCGCACCGCTTGAACACATCGCTCGTTTGACGCCGCGACGCCGCGCTCCGCCGCGCTCCGCCGCGCTCGACCGCGCGCCACAGCGCTCGACCGCACTCGACCGCGCGCCGCGAACGATGGGCGGTCGAGGCAATCGAGGCGGTCGCTCGCATCAGTGGACGCGCGATGGGACCTCGCGGCGCGGCGACGACGCCGTCGGACGCGGTGGACGCGGTGGACGAGGCGCGGTGGGAGTGCGCAGACGCGACGCGCTCGAAGAAGATCTCGTTCGCGAGGCGCCCAACTGGACGCTGTCGTGCTACGGACCGAGGGGTGAGCAGCCGAACCTTCTTGGAGGCGATACGTCGTTCGAGGAGCTGCGGGCGTGCGCGATCGCGACGGTGCGCGCGGGAATGGACGCGCGGACGGTGCACGCGCGGGCGAGAGAGTACGCCGAGGCGAAAAAGTCCGACGCGCGAGGGATCCTGTCGTTCCCGGAGGCGCAGTTGAAGGAGGTGTTGGATAAGGTGGAGCGAGGAACGATGGCGCCCGCGGGGGCGCAGCGCGTGATCGAGGGGGTGGCGTTGGGGAACGCGGGGGTCGCGCCGGCGCCGGGGCTCAACGCGGGCGCGGCGGCGTTCTCGCCGCAGACGGGAACGAACGCGGGTGCCGGTTTCGGCGGTGGATTCACCACCGGTTTCACGGGTGGGTTCGTGGGCGCGGGAATGGGCGTCGGGCGCGGGGTCGCAGGCGGTGGGTTCGCGGGCGGCGACGCGTCGACGAGTCCGTTCGGCGGAACGAGTCCGCAACTGGCGGCTCCTTCTCCTTTCGGCGGCGGCGGTGGTACGAGTCCGTTCGGCGGTGGTGCGGTCGCGCAAGCCCCGCTCACGCCCCTGATGCCGGATCCGAACGACCCGAACTCCGCGGCTTGGTGCGCTCCCGCGTTCACGTTCGGTAACATACCGGACGATCCGCCGCCGCCGCAGTTCATTCGCTGAGTTGTCCCGCGCGCGTTGTTTGTTACAATATGTTCTAGTACTAGTCCTCCTCGTCGTTTTCGCCATTCGTTTTAAGCGAGAAGCTCGCGTTTACGCTCTTCTCGTGCCGCTTTTGCTAGAACTCGTCTTTGCTTCCTTATCATACTCTCAAACTCGTACGAGAGACGGTAATCGTGCTGGTACGCCCAGTCCACGTCGGTGTCTTGGAACACGAGCGCGCGGACGTCACCGACCGCCCTCGCGGATGTCCATGCGACGAGCGCCTCTTCCGCCTCGCTCGCCTCCAGGTTCCGTAGCTCACCGACGAAATTTCCAACTCTACGAACGCCGACGACGACGCCGTCTCGGGTGAGCGTGCACTCTCCGGCGGTGATGATGAAAAATTCCTTTGATGTATCACCCTGGCGAGTGACAAGGTCGCCGTCTTTGAATCGCCTCTCCGCCGGCTGGCGCGTGATGGATATGAGCGAATCCAGACGAGTGTGCATGTTGTGCAGGGCGTTTGAAGTGTGCGTCGCCTGTCCAGTGAACCATGCGTGCTCGAGAGCTTGCGCGGCTGTGAGTCGACGCTTTGGGTTCGGGTCGAGCAACCCTTGGATCAAATCTTTCGCGTCGTCACTCACGTTTTCAAACACCTCGGTTTCGAAATCGAGATCACAGTCGACGATTTGTTCGTACAGTTCATCCTCGTCGTCGTCGTCGAACGGCCAAGTGTGCGTCAAAAGCACGTGCATGGCGACTCCAAGTGCCCACACATCGACGCCTTGTCCGTACACGCCCGCGAGAAGCGCCTCTGGCGCGATATACGATAGCGTTCCACACACGTGCTGCGCTTTCTGGCGCGCGTTGAGCGCCTTTGCGAGACCAAAATCGACGACGTTCAGCGACGTCAAATCTCCCTTTTTGGCCAGCACAAAGTTTTCAAGTTTCAAATCTCTGTGGACAACGCCTTTACCGTGCATGAACGCCACAGCATCGAGCATGGCCGACATAAGAATCTTCACTTCGTCCTCTTGGAAAGGTGATCCACGCTCGTTCACCAGATCGTCGAGCTCTTCGCCTTCCAAGAGATCCATGACGACATGGACAACGCGATCGTCGTTTTCAGTGAAGAATTCACGAATCGTCACGATGTTCGGGTGCCTTGATAGCTGTTGCATCATCACGAGCTCACGTTTTACGTCGAACAGTGTCATGGCTTGAAGTTCGCCTTCATCATCGGAATCATCGTCCGAAGACGAGGAAGAGCTCTCGGCGTCACTGTCGTGACCCAATCCTTCCACATGAAGCGTCTTGACGGCGACGACTTCATCGGTGGCCACGTGTCTCGCTTTGTGAACTACAGCAAAACCACCCGAGCCAATCTGATTCAACAACTGGTATTTCTCTAAAAATGGCCTGTAATCGTGCACCAAACCGACTGGTCGGACAAATCTCGTGGTGTCGAGCTCGTCCAAACCACCCGGTGCCGAGTTTGTGCGCTTCAATCCGAGCTTGTTTTTAGTACGGCCCTCTGGCTTGTAGTCGATGCGATCGCGGAAAATGTGTGCCAGTCGATTGCTAGGAATGGACTTGTCCAACATTCCTTTGGCGTCAAACCCTTGAGCACGCGAGCTTTGCTTGAGATTTTGCACCGCTGACTGCGCCCGCAAACCGCTCCATCGGGCATTCACTTGCTTTTGCGCGCTACCCATGCGCGTCAAACCGGGAGAGTTCGATCTCAAAAGCGACATATTGTTGAAACCCTTGACAATGGGCGATGGAGAAGCGCTGCGCGACGAGTTCGGCGAGCCATCAGGCGATTTACTCGTCGCCCTTGCCAACGCGACGAGATCCGGGGCGCTATCCAATCGAAGCAGAGGCGAGTGTCCTCGAGATCTGTCACCACCGAACGCCGCTGGTTTCAGTGATGCCCACGCGCTGAGACCGGTGGGTAATAATCCTGCACGCTTAGAACGATCGACGATCTCTCCAAAAATCTCGTGCGCTCTCGGAACATCGATGGCGATGTCCTTGAGCGCAATGGTGACGCGCGCAAATCCCTTCGCCATTTGACTCCCATTCACCAGCGAACTCTTCCCGAGATACTTGAGCAGATCGACGGCATTCTCAATCATGTTCGGCATCAACACCGATTGCTCAAGCGCGAGTACGAGCGCCGTCTTCACCAGCTGATGATGATAAAACGGCATGTTCAGTCTGCGCACGCGTCGCTCCGCCTCGGCTCCATCCTTGGAAACCATGTACTCATCGATGATGTCTCGCATCTCCACCTTTGCGTTGGACGCGTTGTATCCTTCCGGACCACCCCACGTCCTTCGAACGCGATCCTCCCCCCCAACCTCTTCGAGCTTTGCCTTTGCTCGCCTCGCCACGTCCCGACCTTCGCCGTAGCCGTCTCGCGAACACGCGCTCTCGAGATACGTCACCGACACCACGTCGTCCACCACCGCGCGCGCCAAAAACGTCACACACTCCTCCATCGCGTCCGGGAAATCCAATCTCAAGTCCGCCATCTCCGCCAACACTCGATCGAAACCGCGCTCGAAGTCCTCCGCGTCCAGCGTCCCGCTCTCGCGCAGCGCCTCCATCGCTCGCGCCGTCAACTCTCGCTCTCGCGCCCCTCGATCGAGCGCGCACGCGATCATGCGCTTCACCGCGTGCGCCTCCAACCCAGATCTCTCGCGTCCGTCGCCGTCGCTCGCGATCGACGTCCCGAGCGCCTCGCGCACGCCGAGCACGATTTCATCCAAGCTGCAGTGCGAAAAGAACTCTCGCGTTCGCGCCTCCACCGCGCGCTTGAGCTCGCGCTCGGCCGCGGCGACGTCGACGATGCCCGTCGGGATCGCCCCCAGGGCGCGCATGCGGTCCATGCCGCGCGCGCGAGCGCCGACGCGTCGCCTCGTGCGGGGCCACACACACCGACGCGCGAGGTTCGCGCATGACGACCGACGACGCGTTCTGGTCGCGCGTGCGCGATCGCGGCGACGGCGGGGAGGATGGGCACGATTTATTCGGCGCCGCGAGCGCGTTTCGCGCGCCCGCGCGGGCGGAAACGACGGTGCGGGCGGGAAAGTCGAGCGAGAGCGCGCCGGCGGCGGCGACGCGCGCGCGCGGGACGTCGACGGCGACGCGAAAGGCGCGCGACGTGGACACGTCGAGCGAGGGCGCGAGTGATGATGGTGGGAGCGATGCCGAGCGCGGGAGCGAATCGGAGGACGAGGGAGCGTCCGCGGCGACGCGCGGCGATACGCGCGCGAAGCGGGCGCCGAGCGAGAGGGACGACTCGAGCGACGATGAACGAGAGGCGAAGAAACCGGCGGGAACTGGATATCGCGATCGCGCCGCAGAGATTTCGGCGGAGGAGTTGGCGCGCACGGTGTTCGTCGGAAATGTGCCGGCGACGACGACGACGAAGGCGCTGCGACGGTTCTTCGGCGCGGCGGGAAAGGTGAAGAGCGCTCGATTGCGAAACGTCCCCGTGGAGGCGGATGGACACGAGCCGAGAAAGGTGAAGGTGCTCAAGGGGAAACTGAACGCCGAGCGTGGGAACGCGACGGCGTTCGTGGTGTTCGAAAAAGCCGAGTCAGCGCAGAAGGCGGCCGAAACGCTCAACATGAAGGCGTTCGAGGGACGGCACGTTCGCGTCGATTTGGCCGCCAAGCCGTCCATCGTGAGCAGCGAGGTGGTGTACGATCACACGCGAAGCGTCTTCTTGGGCCACCTCCCGTTCAACGTCGACGACGAAGACGTGATTCGTCTATTCAACAAGAACGAAGAGTATCCCGAGCTTCGAAAGAGTGTCGAGGCGGTGCGCGTGGTGCGGGACAGAAAGACCACCATGGGGAAGGGTATCGGGTTCGTGCTGTTCAAGACCAAAGAGCAGGCTCGAACAGCGCTATTATTAGACGGGAGCAAGCTCGGTGATCGCGAGATTCGCGTGACGAAGACGTCTCGATCCAAGGCGCCACGTCCCGGGTCGGCGTCCAAGGCGCGGGCGGAGCCTTCGCCCGCGTCGGGTGCGGAACGCAGAAACCCAAAGTTACGCGAAGAGAAGGGCGAAAAAGCGTCAACAGGGCGAGTAACGAATTCGTGGGAGGGGTCACGATCTCGACCCGGCGGAAAATCGTCGAAGACGGCGTACAGAGGCGGCGAGGCGCGTCCGCCGCCCGGCGGTATCGGCAGACCAGCCTTCAAGAAGCCCGGCGACGCCAAGGCAAAACGATCGGGCAAGCGCCCCGCGGTGGCGGCGCGCAAGGCAAATGCAAAGGCCAAAGCCGCCGCCGGTCGCGAAAAGTAATTCGACGCATCAATTTCTGCGTGAGTTTGCAATACAACTGAGGCGCGTCTCGAAACGTCTAGAGTCCCTTACTCCTCCTTCTTCTCCTCGATCATCTTCGGCTCCTCGTCATCTTCCATCTCCGTTTGCATCTCGTCCTTGAACTCCTGCGCGTCGAGTAACACATCGCGTCGTTCGTCAGTCATCGCGCCCTTCGCTCGCGCGCGATATCTCCGCCGCAAGATACACTCCGAGACGCGTCCGTCTCCCCCCAACCCATTCGTCCCTCTTCACGCCCCCCACGCACCTTGGCCGCCTCCTGGAAACTCTTCACCGTCTTCCCGAGCGATTTTCCGAGCTCCGGGAGCTTCTGCGGTCCGAACAGAACCGCGGCGACGCCGCCGATGACGACGATTTCCGGCAACCCCAGGCCGAAGAGTCCTCGCACGACGACGCGATCTCGCTTGTGCGCCACCGCTCGCGGCGCGGACGTCCGAGATGGACGAACGGTGCGCTCTCGGTGCGTTCGACGCGTCGTCGAGCGCAGAGACGCGGGCGTGGACGTCGCGGTGGCGCGCATGATTGTTCCCGCGGCGCGCAGTGCGGTCGATTCATCGCCCGTCGACGACCGCACACGCGCGCGCTCGTGGGTGACGCGCGTCGCGTCAGAGCGCGCGAGACGCGCGCGCGAGCGCGGCGCGTGCCCGGACGTCGTCGGGCGCGACGCGAGCGCGGGGTCGATTCGAATGTCCGCCGAGGATGCGCGCGCGCTCAACCGCGCGATCGCCTCCGCGCGCTCCCCGAGCGCTCTGCGACGCGTCCTGGACGCGGTGCGCGACGACGCGCTGTTAAACGCGATCAACTGCGCGTGCGCGATCGGGTCGGCGGCGAAGATGGCGTCGTTTAGCGCGAAGAAGGGCTCGAGCGATGATTCGGCGAACGAGGCGGCGGCGGCTGTTCGAATCGTCAAAGACGTCGCCGACGTCGCGAGACGCGGGATGGAGCTTCGCCCGGACGAGTGGTGGCCGAGACAGATCGCGGCGGTGCTCTGGGCGTGTGGGAAGGTGAATTCGAGGGATCGTGAGGTGGAGGCGGCGTGCGAGCGGTTGTGCGAGCGCCGGAACCGGCCGTGGAAGCCGCAGGAGCTGTCGAACGCGTTTTGGGGATTGGCGAAGGTGAATAGCGACGCGATCGAACTGTTTCGATTTTTAGGGGAGCGCATTCGCGTGTCGTTGCTCACGGATGTGGGTACGGATCATCGGACGGGATGGACGGCGCAGGGCGTGAGCAACGCGGCGTGGAGCTTGGGCGCGCTTGCGACGGAGACGCGAATCGGGATGTTCGAGGAGAGCGCGCTCGGTGGAGAACTCGTGCGGGAACTCGCGAGGGCGATCGAGGAGCGAATAGAATTGTTCAATCCTCAGGAGTGCGCGAACACGTTGTCGGGCTTGGCAAAGTGCGCAGCGAGCGCATCAGAGGATGCGCCACGCGGTGCAAAGGCGTTCGCCGGGCGACTGAAGCGCGATCGTTCGTGGCTTTCGGGCGGTCAGTTTCAGTGTCAGCACGTCTCCAACGTCATTTGGGCTTGCGCAAAGTTAAATATGAGTGACGATGCGGTGTTGGTGGACGTGTTGGTGGAAGCTGCGGACACGTATGCAACAAAATTCAACGCGCAAGAGTTGTCCACTGTACTCTGGGGACTCGCCACGTTAGCGGTGTCGAACCACAAAATCATGCAGACCCTGGCAAAATGCATGGCGCGGAAAGTCGAAGAATCGTCGGCGCAGCAGATGGCGACGTCGGCGCACGCTATGGCAAAGCTAGGCGTATACAACTCGCAGCTCATGAAGGCGTATCGAGAAAGTGCCGCGCTTCGCCGAGAGCAGTTTCAGCCTCGAGATATCGCGTTCTTGACTTGGTCGTTCGCCAAACTTGAGGTTCATGCATCGGAAATGTTTAAAATGCTCAGTGAAGTGATTTGCGATATGCTGTACGATGTTGAGTTTCAGACGTTTACGCCGCATCATTTGACGATGGTGCTATGGTCCTTTGCAATGCTCAAAGAGGACGTCACAGAGATCTTGCCATCTGTGACGCGCGCAATAAAATCGATGATCGATGAATTCAATCCGCGCGATCTCACAAACACTGCTTGGGCGCTCGCAGAGTTGGGTTGCGATGACGAGGAACTCATCAAAGCGCTTGGTACGAGCGCAAAGTCAAAACTGAGTGAATTCAATTCACAAGAGCTTTTGAAGTTTCTTGGTTCCCACGATCGCCTGGGAGTTGATAACGAGTCTTTAGTTGAAGCGGTCTCGTCGCAGCGCACATTGACGTACGAGTTTCCGGCGTTGAAATCTTCGGTTGAACTCGTCGCGGCGACACCGCAGAGTTATAAGGGAACGGATCGCGTCCGCGTGGATGATAGCTGCGGTGGTTGGGGACGAGGCAACACCGGGGTTGCTCTTTGGGAAGGAAGTTTCGTCTTAGCAGAGTGGCTATCGAGGCAGCGAACACCACTGCAGACAGAGACGGTGGCTAAAACTCTCGATGGCGCATGGGCCGACGATTGGAAAGGCAAAGTTTGCGTTGAGCTTGGCGCCGGCTTAGGCTTACCTTCGATCATTGGTTCGCGTCTTGGCGCACGGGTGATCGCAACGGATGGTGCGTGAGACATCGCTCGTTTCGTTTCGTTGTCGACACTGCCACTGTTAATCCCTTCACTGGACTTTCAATGTCCTTGGAGTTTCAAATGTGGCAAACATCAACTCGGGAGTTTCGCTGACAGCACTCGCACGTTTCGGCGGGCAATGAGTGTCATCTGATAGTAGCTCTCGCACATTTTCATCACTCAATCATCGCTCGCGTTGTTACAATTTCTGACGGATTTGACGCTCTTTCGCTCTTGCAGGTGACGATGAAGTCTTGAAGCTTTTGCGCCAAAATATCGAGACAAATGCATCGGAGGATGCGCGCGTTGAGAAGCTAATATGGGGATCCGATAAAGCGCTCAAATCGCTCGGTCTTGAGAAGTGCCCCGATTTAGTCGTGGCGAGCGATGTCGTGTACGGTAACGACCCTGTGAAGTGGGCGAATCTCGTGCAGACGATGCGTGACTTGTCTGGGCCAAAAACCTTGTTGTTGATTGCCAACGTTCAGCGGTATCCACTGCATCACCCGCTAGCGGAGACAAGGTTTTACACCGAAGCGACCGCAGAGTACTTTGATCGGGTTGAGCTACCAGTAAATGCTCTGCATCCCGATTTTAGGCGTACCGGCGCTGGAAATTGCGTCATTCACGTCTTCCGCCCGCGTTTCTCAGACAAAAAGCGGAAAGCGGACAGCTCCGAGAGTTTGAAGCAGGACGAGAATGATGTGAAGGGAAGGAAAGATAAAAAGAAAAAGGCTAAGAAGGAGAAGAAGGAGAAGAAGGAGAAGAAGGAGAAGAAGGAACGAAAATAGGCTGACGATTAGATGTGTAAACTTAGATGTAGGAATATAGGTAGCAATTAAACGACTCTTCATGGAGGAAGTTGAGTGTTCGTGAGCGGCTTTGCGAGCAAAATGTGTCCAACATCGACGAGACCGAGCTTCGCAAAGGGGTTATTCTTGCTCGAACGTTGCGCGATCTGCGCCGAAGTGAGCGTCGCCTTGATCTCCGGTGGTTCCTCGTAACCGCACTTCTCGAAGAGAATCTGAGCGGCTTCGTTATCCACCTTTGTGTGCGTGTAGAGAATATTCTCACCCATGTTCACCATCGCGCGCTCGGCCGCCAGGACGAGCTGTTTCCCGATACCGCGTCCACGCTGCGTTGGGCTCACGCACACGTCCGATAAATACGCCTTATCTTTCGGCGCGCGAGGTTGCAGACGGTCCGCCCCGAACCTGTTCCCGTTCGGCAACGAAACCTCCGCGATGCCGACCAACACGCTCCCAACCTTGGCCCCGATCAGGATGCGATCTTCCGCCTTTTGCACCCCGTCCAGCAGACCCCCGCGGACGCGCTGGGACTGTTCAAACCGCAATCGATTCTTCGCCAAGATATCCTGCGGACGAACCTTGAAGAACAAATCCATGACCAAATTCGTCGCGTCGTCCACATCCTCCGCCTCCAGCATCCCTATGTTCACGTTACCCTTATTCTTCATCTCCACCGATACCCGCTTCACCGCCTGCTCCCGCACCGTCGTCGCCGCGGACTTTTGTCTCCGCGTCGGCGCCACCTTCACCGTCCCCGCGCCCAGGTCCACGATGAGCGTCGGTTTCGGACCATCCAACACCCGTCGCGCGCGCCCGTCCGCGCGCGCCGATCCCACCATCGTCTCCCCGGCGTCGTCTCCAGCGCCCATCGATCGCGTCGTCGTCGTCGTCGGCCGCCGTGGCCTCTGCAACGCGCGCGATGCGGGTTCTCTCGCTCGAACGCCCGCGCGTTCGCGCCGCGCCGTGGCCTCGCGCGTCGCCCGCGTCGGTGGCGCCATCGCGCGCGGGATCGCGAACATCCGTCGCGGGGCGTCGTCCGCGTCTGACGCCGCGTCCGAGGCCGCGTCCGAGCGCGCGCGCGAGGTGGATGGCACGCGCGGTGCGGGACGACGCGGGCGTGGGCGTCATTCCTGGGTCGTGACTCGTGCGGGAGTCCCTCGGAGACACCCATCGCGCGCGCGCCGGCGACGGGCGTTGACCGCAGTCACGAGCGCGGGCGCGCGAGCGGTCGACCATGGCGCACGCGACGCCGGTGAGCGTGCGGGAGGCGGTGCAGGTGCGGCGACGACGGTGACGACGACGTCGACCGAGGCTGGCGACGATGATTGGGAGCGTGCGGAGGGAGCGAGGCGTGAGATCTCGGAAATGCGTCTTGGTTCGCGTCGCGACGGCGCGGCCGCGCGCGATGGACGACGGGAAGGGGACGGGGACTGACGATTGGTGCGCGCGATCGGTGCGCGCGATTTTTGTGTAGCTTAAAACGTGTGGGGTGAATCCGCAATGCATCTCGTTCACCAATCTCACCATGGAGAGCGACAAGTACATCTGCGTGAGAGAAAGCGGGGCGACGAATAACGTGGTGATCGTCGAGGTGGCGAACCCGCTGACGCCGATGAAGAAGCCGATCACGGCGGACAGCGCGCTGATGAACCCAAAGCAGAACATCATCGCGTTAAAAGCGCGAGTGGAGAATGAAAATGGGGTGGAGGATTCGCTGCAGATTTTCAACATTGATCAAAAGGCGAAGATCAAGGGGCACGACATGGAACCGGTTGTGTTCTGGAAGTGGATCACGCCGACGATGCTGGGGATTGTGACCAACACCTCTGTGTTTCACTGGTCGATCGAAGATCAGAACGCACCGGTGAAGGTGTTCGATAGAACGGCGAACCTGAGCGGGAGCCAGATCATCAGTTACAAGGCATCGGAGGACATGCAGTGGTTCACCTTGATTGGCATCGCGCAGGGCGATGCGTCGAGACCGGCGTTGGTCAAGGGTAACATGCAGCTGTATTCCGTCGCGCAACAGCGCTCGCAGGCGCTCGAGGCGCACATGGCCTCGTTCGCGACACACCAGGTGCCGGGCAACGCGAAAAAGAGCCAGTTGGTGGTTTTCGCACAAAAGATGGTTCAAGCCGACGGATCTATTGCGTCCAAACTGCACGTCATCGAGCTTGGCGCTCCGGCAGGACAAACACCCTTCACGAAACGCTCGAGCGAGCTGTTCTTCCCTCCAGAATTTGCTGACGACTTCCCTGTCGTCATGCACGCAAGCGACAAGTACGGCGTCGTGTACATCGTCACCAAGAGCGGTTTGCTGTTCGTGTACGATTTGGAAACGGCATCGCCGGTGTATCGTACGCGCATTTCGCAAGAGCCCGTCTTCATCGGTGCCGCGGCGCCGAGCGTTGGTGGCTTGTACATCGTGAATAGAGGTGGACAAGTCCTGTTGGCAACTCTGAACGAAGCCGCCGTTGTTCCATTCGTCAGCGGTCAACTCAACAACTTAGAGCTCGCGCTTTCTCTAGCATCGCGGGGTAACCTCCCCGGTGCCGATGCGCTCGTTATGCCTAAGTTTGACATGCTCTTCAACGCCGCTGACTACAAGGGTGCAGCCGAGCTCGCCGCGAGCATGAGCACCTTGAGAAATGAACAAACAATCGCGCGCTTCCGCAACGTGCCGACGCAACCAGGTCAAAGCTCGCCGCTGCTCCAATACTTTGGTGCGTGCTTGCAACGCGGCAATTTGAACAAGTTAGAGTCCGTTGAACTTGCCAAGCTTGTGCTCGCGCAGAACAAGAAGCAACTTCTCGATACCTGGCTCAGCGAAGACAAGCTCGAAGCGAGCGAGGAGCTCGGCGATTTGATCTCTCCGACGGACTCTGAGACCGCGCTCAAGATTTATGTCAAGGCGCGCGCAAACCCGAAAGTCACCGCGGCGTTCGCGGGACGGGGTGAGTTCGATAAGATGGCGCAATATTGCGCCGCGGTCGGTTACAAACCCGACTACATGTACATGCTGCAGTCTTTGATGATGAGCAACCCGCCAGGTGCGGTGCAACTCGCTCAGCAAATGAGTCAGATGACGCCGCCGCCGGTCGATATGGGTAACATCGCAGACTTGTTCTTGCAACGCAATATGATCCGCGAGGCCACGTCGATCCTGCTCGATTTGCTCAAGGAGGATGATCCGGAGCAGGCGTCGCTTCAGACAAAGGTACTCGAAATCAACTTGGTCACATATCCGAACGTGGCTGACGCAATCATGGCGCAAGGCAAGCTCACGCATTACGATAAGCCACGCATCGCGCAGCTCTGCGAAAAGGCTGGCCTTTACGTTCGTGCGATGGAGCACTATTCAGAGTTAGTGGATTTGAAGCGATGCGTTGTGAACACGCACTCCATGGATCCTCAGGCGCTGACTGAGTTTTTTGGAACGTTGAGCCGCGAGTGGGCTCTTGAGTGCCTCCAAGAGCTCCTGAAGATCAACATACGCCAAAACCTGCAAATCGCGGTAAATATCGCCAAGGAATATACCGAACAACTCGAAATACAATCGGTCGTGAAGATGTTTGACAAGTTCGAATCTCATGAAGGTTTGTTCTACTATCTCGGCTACTTCGTCAACACGTGCGAGGATAAGGAAGTGGTGTACAAGTTCATCGAAGCGGCGTCCAAGATTGGCCAAATTAAGGAAGTTGAGCGCGTTACGCGCGAAAGCGATCACTATGATCCAGAGCGTGTTAAGGTTTTCCTCATGGAGGCTAAGCTTGCGGACGCCAGGCCGCTCATCAACGTCTGCGATCGACACGAGTTCGTGGGCGATTTGACGACCTACCTTTACAACAACAACATGCTGCGTTATATCGAAGGCTACGTACAAAAGGTGAACCCGAAGCAGGCGCCGAAGGTTGTTGGTACGCTCTTGGATCTCGAGTGCCCGGATGACTTCATCAAGACGCTCATTCTCTCCGTGCGTTCCTTGTTGCCGGTGGCGCCTCTCGTCGAAGAGGTCGAAAAACGCAACAGACTCAAGATTCTGACGCAATTCCTCGAGCACTTGGTGAACGAGGGAAGCATTGATCCGCAAGTCCACAACGCCATGGGTAAGATGCTGATCGACAGCAATCAAAACCCGGAGCACTTCTTGCTTACTAATGAGTACTATGAGTCTGCCGTCGTTGGCCGATACTGCGAACGCCGCGACCCATACTTGGCTTGTGTCGCGTACAAGCGAGGCAAGTGTGATGACGAGCTGGTTGATTGCACGAACAGAAACAGCATGTTCAAGGTGCAAGCGAGATACGTCGTCGAGCGCATGGAGCCCGAGCTTTGGGCGAAGGTGTTGACGAATGATAACAAGTTCTGCCGCCAATTTATCGACCAAGTGGTGTCCACAGCGCTGCCAGAGAGCAAGAATCCCGAGCAAGTGTCCGTCACTGTCAAGGCTTTCATGACGGCTGAGATGCCGCATGAGCTCATCGAGTTATTGGAGAAGATTGTGCTGCAAAACAGCGCGTTCAGCAACAACCCGAACTTGCAGAACTTGCTCATCCTCACCGCCATCAAGGCAGATGCTACGCGCGTGATGGACTACGTCAACCGCCTCGACGCCTTCAACGGGCCTGAGGTCGCGGAAATCGCCGCGGGTAACGAACTCTACGAAGAGGCGTTTGCCATCTACAAGAAGTTCGATCTTCACGTCGATGCAATGAAGATTCTTCTCGAGTCTCTCGAAGACATTGAACGAGGCATTGAGTACGCTCGCAAGGTTGAGCTCCCAGAGGTGTGGTACCAGCTCGGCAAGGCGCAGCTCAAGATGGGCACGCCGGAAGCGGTCAAGGAAGCCATCAAGTCATACATTAAAGCACAAGATGGCAGCGACTTCATCGACGTCATCCATGCGGCACGACATGCGGATATGTACGTAGACATGGTTCCGTATTTGCTCATGGTTCGCAAGACGAAGAAGGAAGCGCGCATCGACACGGAGCTTGTCTATGCGTACGCGAAGATCAACGACTTGGCCAGGCTCGAGGATTTTCTCACCTCCCCAAACAGTGCCAACCAACAATCGGTGGCTGATAGATGCTTCTCCGAAGGTCTGTATGAAGCCGCGCGTCTGCTATTCACAGCGCTCAGCAATTGGGCCTGCCTGACGAGCACTTTGCTCAAACTTCGCATGTTCCAAAGTGCGGTCGACGCTGCTAAGAAAGCGAATTCTCCAAAGACGTGGAAGGAAGTGTGTTTCACGTGCGTTGACGAGGGTGAGAACAAGCTCGCGCAGCTTGCAGGTCTTCATATCGTCATCCAAGCCGATGAGCTCGACTCCGTCAGTGAGTTTTACCAGGCTCGAGGTAAGTTCACAGAACTCATCGCGCTCATGGAAGCTGGCGTCGGTGTTGACAGAGCGCACATGGGTATCTTCACCGAGCTCGGCATTCTTTACGCGAACCACGCGTCTGAGAAGCTCATGGAGCACATCCGTTTGTTCAGCGCGCGTATCAACATTCCGCGTCTCATCACAACCTGCACCAACGTTGCCTTGTGGCCGGAACTCGCGTACCTGTACAGATGCTACGACGAGTATGATAACGCCTGTGAAGTGATGATGGAGCATCCGGACGCGTGGGAGCACGTCGTCTTCAAGGATGTGTGCGTCAAACTCGCGAACGCAGACTTGTACTACAAGGCGATCAAGTTCTACATTCGCGAGCACCCGACAGAGATGACCAACCTTCTAGGCGTACTTCAGTCTAGACTCGATCACTCTCGAGTGGTGGCGTTGATGCGTAAGGAAGGCAAGTTACCCATGGTGAAGGAGTATCTGTTGTCGGTTCAAGGCGCCAATTTGACTGCGGTGAACGACGCGGTGAATGAGCTTGCAATTGAGGAAGAGGACCATGTCGCGCTCAAGGCGTCGATCGACATGTACGATAACTGCGATCAACTCTCGCTCGCGATTCAGTGCGAATCACACGAGCTGATCGAGTTTCGAAGAATTTCTTCGTACATTTACCAACGTAACTCTCGATGGAAGCAAGCCATCGAGCTTAGCAAGCGCGACGGTTTGCTCAAGGATGCGATGGAAATCGCCGCAAAGAGCAACGACTCAAGCATCGTCGACGAGCTTCTCGAGTTCTTCATCGAGACGGGCAACAAAGAGTGCTTCTCTGCCGCCCTATGCACGTGCTACGACTTGTTGAAGCCGGACGAGGTCATGCAAAAGGCGTGGTTGCACGGCCTTAGCGATTGGGTGATGCCGTTCATGATTCAAGTCATGCGAGACATGAACTCAAAGATTGACATCTTGATGAAGGACAAGGCGGATCGCAACGAGGAGAAAGTGAACGAGGAGAAGGAACGTGTCGCTGCGGAGATGAATAGCAACCTATACGCGCAGCTCATGCCTGCGGCGTTGCCTGCGTATGAAGGCCAAGGTGCGGGCGGGTACGCTCCCCAACAAGGCTTCGCCCAACAGTATGCCTACCCGCCACAACAGCAGCAAGGGTGGTAATCGCACCTTCAATCAATCATTTCTAGCCTTAACTCTAGTGCACAGCCGTTGAATAAACGCAAAAACGGAAACCTACACAATCCCCATGCGCCCGAGCTTTGCCTCACACGTCGCTGCGTCATGAGCGTCGCTCAACGACTCACCCCTCCCACCTGCGCCCGCGCGCGCGTACGTACCCGTGCGTCCACGACCCCACCCGAGGTCAAACGCGCGATCGACGCCGCGCGATGGCGCGCCGGCCTCGAACCCGCGTCGAACGTTCCTTGGACCGCGTGTCAAGTAGTGAGAGGTGAGATACCACCAGAGCTCACCGGGACTCTATACAGAGCCGGACCCGGGCGATGTCGTCTAGGATCGACAAAGTACGCGCACTGGTTCGATGGCGACGGGTACGTGAGCGCGATCGAGCTCGATGCGGGTGATAACTCGGTGCGGTGTTCAGGACGGTACGTGGAGACGGCGCGGTGGCGGCGGCAGCGGGACGCGGACGGCGGCGACGGTGGAAACGACGATACTGTTGGATCGAGCGGGGTGGCGATGCGGGGAGCGTGGACACAGGCGAGTTCGGTGATGGCGAATTTGGGACGGTTCCCGACGAATCCGTCGAACACGTCCATCATAGCGCACGCGGGGGAGGTGTTGGCGTGTTGCGAAGGCGGCGCGCCTGTCGCAATGGATCCGGCGACGCTGGCGACCAAGGGGGAAATTTCGTTCGGGTCTAGTCTACCGATGGGTTTTAGCGCGCACAGTAAGCAAGATCCGCGAGACGGCACGCTGTACACATGGGGACTGAAGAAGCCGCCTTTCATCGGAATCTCCGTTGCCAAGGTTTCAGCGAACGGAGAGGTGCTGAAAGTGGTCGACATGCCGTTTCCCACCGGCGTCCCGGAGTTCGCGCTGTTGCACGATTGCGCGATGAGTGAGAATTACTTGACGTTTTTCATGTGCCCGTGGGTACTTCCAAAGGAAAACATCGCGGGCGCACTAAGTGGGTTGAGCTCGTTTGGGCACTCGTTTCGATGGAGCGATGAGCGTGAGACGTGGATGGTCGTCGTCAGGAAATCAGATCTAAGCGTCGTGCACGCGAAGAACGTACCAGCGTTCTCGAGCTATCATACATGCGACAGCTACGAGGAGAACGGCAAGCTCAAGGTGCTCTACTGCAAACTCAGAGGCTCGCGTGCGGAGCTCGAGAAGAATTTCGGCGACATGTACGCATCCGAGTGGACGGCGGCTCAGTATAACGATCTGCACGAGATGACGATCGACATCGCTACCGGCGACGTTACGGACGCCATCGCGATGCCGACCAACGCTGATGGCGAGCGAGACATGACGAAGATGATCGGGATGGAATTTCCACTCGTGTCTCCGCTCACGCAGAGTCGCCACAAACCAAAGTACGTGTACACGCTCGCAAACACTTGCGGTGAGCACGGGTACTTCGACTCCATTCAAAAGCTCAACCTCGAGACGAAGACAGCGGAGACACGCCTGAGCCCGTCGGGCTGCTTCCCGCACGAGTGTGCCTTTGTGCCGCAATCTGACGGCGTCGACGAAGACGACGGGTACCTCGTGCACGTCGAGTACGACGCCTCGCGCGCCGCCGCCAACGTCCTCATCCTTGACGCCAAGCGCGTGCAAGACGAACCGGTGGCCGAAATCCAACTCCCCATGCACATTCCTTACTCATTCCACGGCGCCTTTGTGCCCAAGATGTAATCTTGTACCATTCCGTCGCGCGCCGCCGCTCCAGACTCCAGAATTAGCCGCGCGACGCGTCATGACATCCGCCGTCGCGACCATGACGCGTTCCGCGCCTTCCGTGCGTCGCGCACATATAAACGACCGTCGCGCACACCGCGTTCGTCGCGTAAACACGCGAGCTCCCGCGCTCGACGTCGCTTCACAAAACGTTTCTTCGAACGAAGACCAGCCGTCTGGTCAAACCTCTCGAGCGGCCGACGACGAGGACGACGCCGACGCGCGCAAGCGCGCCGCGCTCGCGGTGAAGACCCCGCACAGTGGGTATCATCGACAGGTCGGGACTTCGAGGGCGTTCTTCGAGGGGTGGTACTTTCGATTCACGCTGCCGCGTTCAGCACAGAGCGCGAGTCTGATATATCACGTGTACGATCCGGACGTCGAGACGAGCGCGCGAGCCGGCGCTGGGGCGCAGGTCTGCGCGCCGGGAGGAAAGTATCTGTACAGCGAGACGAGCGCGGGGAGTGGGTCGTTTGAGGGTGCGTCACATGCGTTGGAATTGGGTATGACGCGAGGCGACGATTTTTTCGAAGTATCGAGCGAAGGGACGCGACATCGAGGCTCGCTCACGAGCGCGGGCGAGCGCGAGGACGGGCCGTGGGGCGCAGGGCGAGCGGCGAGGAGCGTGAAGTGGGACATCGCGGTCACGCCCCTCAGGGGATGGGGCGGCGGCCCGGGAGCAAGGATGCAGTCTCCGGCGGGTTGGTTGACGGCGCTGCCGGTGTTTGAGCCACACTGGCAGGTGACGATGGCGCACGGTTTGGCGAGTGGGTGGATCGAGACCGACGGTGAGCGCGTCGAGTTTAGCGATTGTCCGGCGTATAGCGAGAAAAACTGGGGCGGCGCCGGGTTCCCGTTGAAATGGTTTTGGGCGCAGTGCAATTCGTTTCCGGATTATCCGGATCTCAGCGTCACAGTGACCGGAGGTAATCGCGGTGTCGTCGTTCTTCCAAACGTCCGCGAAGACGTAGGACTCATTGGTATTCACTTTGGTGATCGTTTCTTTCAGTTTACTCCCGCAGTACAGGTGGAGATAGCCGCGGATGCTAAGTACGGCGCCGGGCAGGCACTCGAAGCCGCCGCCGTGCGATGGGACGTGGAGTGGGGTAGATGGAGCGTCTCCGCCGTCGGAAAGCGATACGAGTGCTCCATCGAGGGCACGTGCGCGGACGGCGACAAGTCTACCGTCATTCGCGCGCCCACGGATAGCCTCGAGGATGGCATGGCTCCACTCTGCCGCGAGACGTTCACCGGCGTCATTGTTGTCTCTCTCTGGCGTCTCGACGACCGTGGCGCGCGCGTTGAGACTATCATCGACGCCGCAATGAGCTCGACCGCGTGCCTCGAGATCGGTGGCGGGCCTTGGGTGTCGCCCTACCGCGCTGTGGCCGAGATCAGAACGCCGCTCGGCCCGCTCATGGGTCTGCCCGTCGACGTCAACGCCGTTGCCAAAATTCTCTCACCCCTCGGCGACCTCCTCCCTGGACTCTGATCCGTCGTCTCGCCGATCGTGATTTCGTTTGTAGACCATTCTCTCCGACGTAGATAGCGAGTACATCGTCACAATCGACGCTCACGTTCATCCGACCGCACTTCCCGCCATGCGTCTGCGCCACGCGTGCGCGCGTCTCGCCCGCGTCGGCGCCCGCTCTCGACCATCGCACCAGCCCCACCGACCGATGACACGCGTGCCTCTACACGCCGCGTCCGTGGGCGACGTGTACACGGTCGAGTGCGTCGACCTCGCGAGCACGGGTGAGGGCGTGTGCAGACTTCCAGACGGTTTGGTTCTCTTGTGCGCCAACACCGCGCCGGGAGAGGTCTTGGAGGTCGAGTTAAGCTCGGTCGGGAGGTCTTTCGCGCGTGGAATGAAGTTGTCGAGCGTGCGCGCGAGCCCGTCGTGCGTGACGCCGCCGTGTAGACACTACGCGCGGTGCGGCGGCTGCGCGTGGCAACACGTCGATTACGAGACGCAGCGAGAGCGGAAAGGTCGGACGGTGCGAGAAGCGTTGACGCGTGTCGGCCGATTCGTAGATGGGGATGACTTGACTTCGGCGTGCGTTGGGACGAAGGAGACGACAAGGTACAGAAATAAGATGGAGTTCGCGTTCGGGAGCGACGCGAGTGGCGGCGTGGTGGTCGGTTTGCGGCCGAGAGGCACGAACGATTCGATCGTCGATCTCGAGTTTGGGTGCTTGCTACAGAGCGAAGCGGCGGATGATGTGCTATCGGCGGTGCGGGCGTCGCTGAAGAGGGTGCGCGGACGCATTGATGCGTTCGATAGGACGACGGGAAAAGGAACGCTTCGCAGCGTGACTATTCGCACGGCGACAAGCGGAGACGGTAAGAGATCCCTCATGGTGGATTTAGCAACGACAGCGAGCGAAAAGGAGCTCACGAGTGGAGCGCTCGCTGAGTTGATCGCGGATATCACGAAGCACGAGGCTGTTACTAGTGTTGTGCACACGACGGTACCAGCGGAAGCTGAGCTTCGACGAGCGGGAGTCGGGAGAAGCGCCAAGTTTGTCAAGGGTGGCAAGAAACCAATCTCGAAGAGGAAAGTCGTGACGCTTTACGGTGAAAATAAAATTGTGGAAACACTACATGGGGTGAAGTTTGAACTGTCTTCGGCATCATTTTTTCAGACGAACACTGAGCAAGCGGCTCGCCTCGTGCGAGAAGTCGTCGCGGGGTGCGGCTTCGCTGGCGATCGATCTGAGACCGTACTCGATTTATTTTGTGGCGTGGGGACGATGGGATTGAGTGTGGCGTCGAACGCAAAGCGAGTAATAGGGTGGGAAGTCGTCCCAGAGGCTGTGGAGGACGCGAGGCGAAACGCAGAAATCAACGGTATCACCAACGCAGATTTCTACCGCGTCGATTTATCCCGCTTGAACCCGTCGAAGGGCACCAAAGCGCTGTTGACGACTCCACAGGGCGATGTGCTTCCGATGCCGGACATAGTTATCACGGATCCGGCGCGACCGGGAATGGACGCGTCGCTCATCGCCATTTTGCGCACCATCGGAGCGAGACGAATCGTGTACGTCTCGTGCAATCCCGCAACGCAAGCTCGTGATTTGGCCCTGATTACCGCTCCCTCTCAGGGTTCACAGGACGCAGCGTACGTGTTGAAACTGTGCACGCCGGTGGACATGTTCCCGCACACCGCGCACGTAGAATCAGTCGCGGTACTCGATCGAATCAACGCGTGAGTCTTCCTAAACCAATGTATATTACATGTACAACCTCACTGACCGTCCGTGAGACGCTCGTTCCGACGAAACGCCACGCTCTCGCCCGTCTTGACGTTTCTAAAAACCACCCCGTTCCCACCCATCGATTTCGTCTCCACCCGAGACATCATCGCTAGGTACCCGTACTCGCTGGCTATTCGATTCGTAAACACTCGGTGCCACCCCTCTTCGCCTCGAATCCACTCCCTGAGCGCCCGTTCGCACTCGTCGAACGCCGTATCCAAGAAACCTAATCTCCACAAGACGTGTGCGAACCCAGGGGCGCACTCGGCGCACAATCGCTCCATCTCCTCCGTCCCGCCTAACTTTTCGACGCACCGCGCGACGCCTCGGCCCTGCGCCGCGCCGCCGTCGCACACCAACCCCGGTCGCTCGATCACGAGCTCGAACACTCGCGCGGCGCACGACCGAGGTAACGCATCTCTCAGCGCGCGCACTCTGCGAGCGAGATCATCGAGGGCGATCTCGTCGCGAACCCGTCGTCCCTCCACGCTCTGCGCCAGTTGTCTGAGCGCGCCGTCGTCGAGCTGCAAGATGACTCGCACGGACGCCTCACGGATGGTTGACGATTCAGACGTGGATGCCACTTGGATGCGCGCGCGCGCACGAGCGCGATTTAAGCGCGGGAGTGACGCGCGCGAGGGAGCGAGCGAACGCATCGCGCGAGGCGGGCACTGAGGCGGCGCGGATTCTGCGCGGTTCGTCATTACATCATCGACTCGACACGACGTATAGATCTACCTCGGTTCTACCGTCGAGACGATCGCGTCGAGCGTCGCGTCTCAACCATCGTCGGACTCCCGGGATCGGCGTCGTCCATCGCGATCGTCCCGTTCGCGAGCGCGACGAACGCTCTGCGAACGTCTCGCACAAACTTCCCGAAATCGTTCGACCGGTTACACTCCCTCGCCAACGACTCGATCGTCTCAATCGCCGGTTCGCACTCCACGACCTCGTACGCGCTCCCTCGCAGGCGCACCGCCAACACGAACTCCTTCTCCGGCGCCCTGGCGTCGACGTATTTAAACCGAAGCCTCAACCGCTCGCCTTGCCCGTACTCAAACCACAACCCCAGACGCTCGGCGTACATCTCTCGCGCCTCTCGCAGCGCGTCCAACTTTGCCATCGCGCTCGTGCCCACCACCTTTCCTTCTTCTCGCTCCAGCGTCGACCGTTCGTTCCTCAGCGCCTCTCGCTCGCGCGCCAGCCGCTCTGGCAGTCCCTCCGCGAGCTCCCGCGCCCGCTCCGCCTCCTCCCTCGACTGTTCCATCTCGAGCTCGATCCTCGTCGCTTCCGCCGCGTGCTCGGACTGTTTCGCGATCAATTCCTGCTCTCGTCGCAGTAAACCGTCGCGTTCGCGCTCCAGTAATCGTCGTCGATGCGATCGCGCGTCGTCGATGCGTCGCTCGCGAGCGAGTTGTTCGCGTCGCCATCCGTCGACGACGTCGCGGAACTCGGTGAGTTCGCGCTCGAGGTCGTCGACGTCGATATCGGCGCGGGTGATGGCGCGGTGCGAACGAGACGCGGCGCGCATGTCGTGCGGTGAAGGACGTCGACGTGTGATGAATTGGACGGCTCAACAGCTTGAAGGGTGGATTTTTTGAATTCGGCGGCGGAGCGGGAGGAGAAGACGTCAGTACCCGAGGCGCTCGCGCAGGGCGCGTTGGGCGTCGCTCGTGATCGGAAGCGCGGTGACGTCTTGGAAATCGTCTCGAGCGTCGTCGACGTCTCGGGAGGGCGGGTGACCCGCGGCGAGGAGTCTCTGAACGTCGGCTTCGGCTCGGAGCTCGGCTTCGGAGCGCTCGGCGGGCGCGACGGTGGGGCGTTTGCGGATCTCGAGACCGGCTCGGAGTTGATCCGGCATTAAGAAGCCGTCATCGTCGTCGTCTTTGACTGAGGGTGCGGGCGGGTGCGGCGGCGCACGGGGAGGCGATGGCGAGCGCGCTCGCGCTTCGGTCGGAGCCGGTTCCGTTTCGACGACTACGGGTCCGTCCTCGTCAGCCTCGACGATTGTTTTCGTCGCGCGCTCAGGATCGGCGCTCCGCTCACCGGCGCCAGTGAACTTGCGCTTTTCTTGAACGTTTCCTTGGCGCTCCCACTCCGCGGCACGTCGAGACTCGGCTTCGCGTTTCTCTCTCTCCGTGCGCTCCTCGGCTCGCTTTGCCTCCAGTTCCGCGGCTCGGCGTTTCACGTCTTCAATGCGTTTCGCTTCCGCTTCTTCGGCTCGCTGACGCATGGTGTCGCCTTTCGCCGATCCCGGCTGGAACTCTTCCGTGGGATCCGCGTACTTCAATAACCTAGAAATACGCTCGAGCTCGGACACTTTCTCTGCGAGCGTCTCGCGCAATTTATACGCTTGCGCCGTAAATCGTGATGCGCCAATCTCATCCATGTACGCGTCCAAGGCGTCGCCATCGGTAGACGTGCCCGCGGTGCGCTGCCGCTCAGCACGCGCAGCCTCTTCGGTCACGGTGATGAGATCCTCGGTCTCCGCGATCGAAGCCTCGATAGCGATGCGTTTATCCCATAGCGTCGTGGCCGTCTCCAGTGTCTTCGGCTCCCCCTTTGAACTGGAGACGTTCTTCTTCACATCTCGACGACGCTTACGACTCGCGCTCGTCCCTGAACGATCGAAAAATCCATCTTCGTCGCTTCCCTCGTCCTCATCGTCCGAATTTCGACCGCGGCGACGTTTTGCGGACGTACCAATCTGCAACCCGAGACTCACGCGCAAGGATTCGTTCAACGCCTCGTCGGCGTCCTCGATCTCCTCTTGAAGCTGTTCGATCGCGCGCTCAAGTTGCGATGCACGTTGTATTTGGCCAGCCGATAAGCCGCCCTCTTGCTGCGTTTCCTTGGCGCGAATACGATCGATTTCCGTGCGCATGCTCGAGATTTTTTCCTCCTTGCGATAAATGTTGTCCCGCTGCTTCGACTGCCTGTCGCTCAATTTTCCATCGTACGAGCGCCAATCCAGCTCCTCGAACGCGCGCTGACGCTCCGTGATCTCTTCATCCGCGTCCATCATCCCCCACGACGAGCCCGCCTTCGCAGCGGCCTCCGCTGCGCGCGCCGCCTCGCGTTCTGCCTTGAGCTTGGCCAACTCGCGTTTCGTCTCTTCCTCCGCCGCGCGCTCAAGCGCGGCCAATGCTTTCATCTCCGCCGCGCTCAGACCTTCTTCCGGCATCAAGCTCGCGTCACCGTCCAAGATATAAACCCTGCTCGACTCTCCCAGCTTTATGTGATCCCCCACTCGAACCGGCGCGTGTACGTTTGGCTTCACCCGACGCTTATTCACAAACGTCCCGTGCGCGCTTCCGCAATCGTACACGTACACCTCCGTCGTGTCCTTCTTAAACTGTATCACGCAGTGTAATCGAGACGTCGAAGGGTGTTCGACGACGACATCGCACGACGGATGTCGTCCGAACGACACCCAGGACCCGCGCGTTCCATCCGCGCGCGCGCCCAGCGCCGCGCGCTCGAGCATCGTCCCACCCTTCAGACAGTCCAGGTAAAACTCCGTCGACGGCGTCCCACCCCACGACGGTTCATCGTACGTCTTCCCCAGGGGCGGCGCTCGCTCGTCGCTCGCTCTCGCGCGCGGTTCCGGCGCCGCGAACCCGTCGGCGTCGTCTCGCGCGCGTCCGCCGTTCGCGTCGTCATCTTCGCACGTCGTCGTCGATGGCGCGTCGTTGAACCGCGGGGGCGGTGGACGCATGCGTGACACCGCGCGCCGACGTCGCCGTCCGCGAGCTCGTCGTCGGGGCGTCGAGCGGAGGCGCGCGTGGGCGCGCGCGCGTCGCGTCCGGCGCCGCGTCCAAAACCCTAACCCTACGCTAAACCCTATTTTTAGGGGTTCACGGCACCGCGGACGATTCCGAAATGATATGATTCCGAAATGACATTCGCGTTCGCGTTCGCGCCGATGCGCGAGGACCCGATCGCGAGGCGATTATCGTTCGCGGACGTTCGCGTTCGCGCGTCGCCCGAGGATGCGCCCTCGAGCGCCGCGCCGATGACGAGCGAGAACAGCGGCGTGGACGCGACGGTTGGAAACGGTTTGAAAAAATCAAACTCAACGAAGTCGGTGACGTCGTCGAATGCGAGCGTCTCGAGGGCGACGACGACGGTGCGCGAGGGTACGGGTGAGGTCATGGAGTGTGGATCGATTTCGGACGCGGAGGGACGGGCGGTGAGTCCGATAAAGTCGGCGAGGCAGTCGGCGAGCTGGACGACGCTAGGGACGCCCGAGCCGAGACCGGGCGTGGACGAGCCGGACGCCTCGTTTCATTTCGACGAGGTCGGCGAGGGGTTCGACACGGACGGTGAGGATACGATGAGCTTCGATAGCGCGAATTTCTCCATGGCGGTGAACATGACGATGGATACGGAGAACGAGACGTTCCACAGCGTCAGCGCGCGCTCGCGTTCGCTTGACGCTTTTTACGACGACGAAATCTCGAGCACGAGTGCGCGAGGAAAGAAAGCGGTGTGGGCAATCGGCAAGTCCATCTTCGGCTTCGCCGTTGGCTTTGGCGTCGTCACTCTCATCGCGGTCGAGATCGCCTCGCGTGTCGAGTCGAGCGCCTCCGGGAAGCCCAATCGTCGCTCGCTCGGCACCATCCTCCGTAAGAAAACCCACGCAGACGCGGACACATCGAGCGACGTCGATACGAAGACGAAGATGACACAAACCCTGAACCACTAGCTACCGCTACCACCTACATCCGGCGTCGTCGACGCTGTGTACATATATCTACTTATCTACTTCTATTCGTCCGCTCGCCAAGCCAACCGTCTACTTTCCTCCGAGCGCTCACCGAGCGCTCGCGTCTCGAGCGCCTCCAACGCTCACTCGCTCTCCAAAGCGCGCGCCAAGTCCCGCAATCCCTCCACGCGAGCGATGACGCGCTCGACGCTTCGCTCGAGCCGCACGACGTCCGCACGAGCTCGAGTGAGGTCCTCTTTCGAAGCACCTCTTCGCTCGGCTCGCTCGACAGCGTCGACGAATTCGCGTCTTCGCGACGCCAGTCGATGACCTCTACTCAGAAGTCTCGACGCCTCGCTTTTTACCTCGGCGAGCGTGCGCGGTGGCGGCATTGCGAGCCACCGAATGCGGTTGGGCACGTTGCGTCCTTTGAGGCGAGCGGCTTGGTGAGAGCTATAGGTAGTCTACACGGGATGACGCTAATCTATTCGTCGGCGAACTCTTTATCCATCATTTTGGGCGACGATGGACGCTCTGGTTCCGGCTCCGTTAGCGGCGGGCTCGAATGGGCGTTGCGCTCACTCGGAAGCGTCACCGGCGTGTTCGCATCCTCGGCGTCGTCGTTCATCACGTCCTTGAGTTCGATCTCCGCCGGTTGCGCCGACGGCTCAACGCCCTCTTCTTCATCTTCCTCTGAGACGGAGCTTTCGGATTCGGAGGTGCTCGTCGTGGCCTCTTCATTAGCGAATTCCTTGTCGTCGGCGCGTTCGTCAGATTCGGCGAGTAAGGGCGCGCGAACGTCATACTCCTCCACCCTGTCGTCTGACTCGGTCGTTCCTATCTTTTCTGCAGATCTCGAGGGCATCGCTTCTGTGGACTGTGCCTGCGGCGTCGCCGCTACTGAAGCGCTCGCCGACGCTCCTCCAGGTAAGCCCTCCATCGAGCTCCCTCCGCTGGTTCGTCTCTTCTTTTTCTTATCCTTCTTGTCCTTCTTGTCCTTCTTGTCCTTCTCGTGACCGTCGGTCTTCTTCTTTTGACCAAACTTGGATTTCGCCGAAAGTTTGTCCCCTGACGTGAGCTTGGAGAACAAGCTCTCTTCCTCGTCTCCCGCCAACTCCTTGGCGACGTCAGAGCCGAACCATTGGTGCATGGTGCTGTACATGAGGAACAGCGACAAGCCAAACGTGATTGCGACGACCATCTGCAGACTGAGGACGACTTCGTTGCACACTTGCGCGGTGGCGAGCTCGATGGTGTCGCTCATGGGTTGGCAGTCGCCCAAACCTTCAAAGATTTGTGCGACATCAGCCTCGTACGTCTTCTTCGCTAATTTAAGCGCCGCCATATTCGCCGATGACGCGTACGTTCCCGTTAACGCCTCCACGTTCGCCACCGCTGAGTTCAACTTAGTTTGATCGGCGTGCATGTTTTGCAAGTACTCGCCGAGTTCGTACCCAAAGCGCGGGCACACCATGTAGAGCTGCAAATTTTCCGGCACTTGGAACTCCACCATGCCCTCGTACGCGAAGCAAACCTCGGCGCCGAGCACGGCGATGGGCCAATAGATCGCACACACGGTGAAAAGATACATGAGCGACACCAACGGGAACCCACGAACGAACAAATCGGGCGTAAGGCTCTTACTCCCCCGTTTTGTCTTCCACCACGTGTGCGCCGGTCTCTTCTCCGACAACGCCATGATTGGAAGCACGGCGCTGGTGATCAAGAGCACGATGGCGACCAAGAAAGATACCATGGACATTATGGTAAATATTCTAAACTCCTTGACCCACCTGAAGTAGTTCAAATCGTCCACGAATTCCGCCGCGCCTCCATCGTTCACCAGCGCCGTCGCCACAGCCGAGAGCGCCGTGTTAACGGTCGCCGTCGCGACCACGTCCGTCGCCGCCGTCGCCTCCGCCTTTAATTTCGTCAACGCATCGTCCATCCCCATCATCGTCAATCCGATCTTCCTCGCCCCTCTCTGCGCCTCCTCGGCCCACGCCTGAATTATCTTGAGAGTGTTCAGTCCGCCTCTGAACCCAAACGTAAAGCTCACGCTCGACGCCGGGCCGAACGCCAAGACAATGCACGCGGTGACGATCGCTCGTGTTTTGTGTTCCTTTACGTTGACATTCTCAAACACCCTGTTGTTCCGTAACGTGTACAACTTGAAGTACACGGCGCACACCGCGATGAGAGCCAGACAGGGCGTGGCGTACGTGAGACCGATGAAAACTGCGGACGATTTCAGCTCGTGCGAGCTGAAGTGATGGAACGGGAGCTTGTGCACGAGCTCGCGGATGTCCAAGACGTAGGACATGGTGGATTACCGCGCGTCCGGGGGTGATGGGAGGGTGCGACGACGCGGAATGACGACGTGGTCGATCCCATCCAGATGGTGTTGGGCTCTCTGGACTCTCGGCGCGCGGGCCGTCGTCGTTGGACTAACGTTCTACTACGAGCTAGAAATCTACGCGACGCGCTCGAACGGCGCCGCTCTCATCGCAAATCAAAACACGAGGCACGCGGTCGGGCCCGACGTCCGCGGGGATGACTCGGAGGACGTCGGCGGCGTCTCGTATGACCTCCACGACGTCCTCGAGCGGGTCTCGGAGCCGCCTCGCCTCCACGACGCGAACGCTCGGCCGGTGAATCACGAGCGCTCTTCGCTCGACGTCGAACGCGAACGTGGCGCCACGGCATCCTTTTATGGTGGAAATCAATCGAATCGATCGAGCGCCGATGAGACGGAAGACGAGCACGCGATGTCTCGCGACGTCGGCGACGGCGAAGACGTCCAGCGCTCGGGCGAACTCAAACGCGCCGTACCGTCTCGGCGCATCCACGAACGCGTGTATCCACGTCGTGCGCTCGCGCGGAAGCGACGACACCGCTTCCATATCCTCACCCTCGTACGCCACCGCGTTCTCACCGAGCTCGGCGTTCGGTTCGACCACCGATTTCACCACGCTCAGCGCCGTGGACGCCGCGCGCCTGAAGAAGGAAGACGTCGTCGACGCCAACCTCGCCGATTCCCTCACCATCGGCTCCGCCATCGTCAGCGCTACCGCGGCACCACCGACGGCGATGATGGTCACCGACCCATCCGAATCCCGTTCCCGTCCCTCCGCCGCGACTAACGGCGCGAGTCGCGGGAGCGTCCACCGCCGCCGCGGCGCGACCGCCGCATTCGACGTCCACATCTCCACCACCCGTTCCTTCGTCGACGCGTACCCCATCCCAGCCCCGATCGATGTCACCGCCTGGACATCTATCCGCGTCTCCACCGTCGTCGACGTCGCGCCGTCGTCGCCGACGACGACGACCGCGAGGTATCCATCCGCGTCACCCACGGCGATGCGTCCGGGCGCCGTCGCGCGCGCGCACGTGATCGCCGCGCGTCGCTCGCACACCGTCGCGCCATCGCGCACGCGTCGTAACGCCCACGGGGCGCGTCGCGAGCGATAGTACACGTCGTCGTCGGCGTCGAGGACGACGCACGCGAGGTCGACGTCCTCGCGCGCGCGCGCCATCGTGTCGAGGGCGGGCGCGCGGGGCGGCCGTGGGCGTTTTATAGTGGCGTCGCGTGTACAGTCGTACACATGCGTGCGTGGGTCACGACTCTGGAAACGAGCCCGTCGTCGTGGGCACATCGAACCGTAACGCTCGCGCGTCCACGACGGGGCGGGGGATGGATGATATCGATGCGTTTTAACGTTCGTATTTCCTTCGGGATTTACATTTGCAAAACTGGATAAAAATACAGAGAAGATTAGCATGGCCCCTGCGCAAGGATGACACTCAACAAATCGTGAAAAGTCACATGTTTTTTATGCTCGTTCATCATCTTAAATATTGGCCAATTGTCCGAGAACATATTGTTTTGTAACATATTTTCTCGTATGAGCAAACGGTATGGTTGGGTACCCAGTGCTGTTTCACCTCTTTCGTCGCGCCCGTGGGGCGGCGAGAGACGCGACCGCGCGCCGACGACGACCGCGCGCCGCCGAGCGCGCGTCTCGCACCACGGGCGATCTCTCGAGCTTCGTCCGCGCCGCGGCCGCGCGCGCGCTCGTGCGCGAGGCGCTGCGAGCGACGAGAGATTTAGCCGACGTCGCGGCGCGACGCGAGCTGCGACGAGAGATCGTCGCGCACGCTCGACGCGCCGAACCGGTGGCGTCGATGGGTAAGGCGGACGGCGCTTTCGCCCTGAGCGAAGGACGTCGACGATTGAAGGAGCTTCGAGAGATGCTCGGGATGGTTCTCTGAGGGCGACGTCGAGATGCGTCGCCGCGCGGCGCTCGCGCGGGCGAGTCGGACGTTCGAGGTACGACGAGGGGTTGGCGTCGTCGAGACGGCGAATGGGGTGACGCTGGAATCTACGGATGGTATCTCTCGCGGTGAGACGGTCGTGATGGCGCCGTTTGGATCTTGGGCGACGCGAAGCGCCGCGTTCGCTGAATCGAATGGACCGCGCGCGTTCTTGGCGACGTTCGGCGAGCGCACGGTTCGCGAGACGGTCGCGTTGGCGATGTCCTTGCTCAACGAACGGAAGAACGCCCCGGATGATTCGTCGGCGTACGCGCGGACGCTTCCTGAGACATTCGATTTCGTCGACGCGTGCCTGACCGAGAGGCACCTCACGGCGTTGGACGGAACGGTAACCGCCGCGAGGTTGAGAAAACGTGGCGATTTCGTGCGCGCACTCGCCTCGTCGACGGGGTTGATGGTGAAGGACGTGTCGTGGGCGATCGGTGCGGTCTCCTCGCACGCGATGAAGAGTGAAATCGTACCGTACGCGCTCGTGCCTGGATGCGACTTGCTCGATCACTCGACAACACCGAACTGCGTGGTGAGAAGAGACGAGACGACGAACGACGTATTCTGTGCGTCCACAAGAGACGTGGCCCCGGGTGAGAAGTTGACGATAAGTTACGGCAAGTCACTTTGCAACGATAGGGCGCTGCGAATGTACGGATTCGCGTCTCGCGAGCTCTACTCAAACGACGCGAGAGTGTTGCCTGGTGGATTTCGAGGCGTGCATCCTAGCAACGAGGCGTTCGACGCCTCGGTAGACGAGAGTGAGAAGGTATTCGGTGGGCGAAAGGCTGCGTTGGACGCCTGGAGATCGGAGAAGGACACTTTTGAAGACGCCGACGTCGCCGACGGCGACGCAGAGTGGTTTCGAGCCGCGACGACACTGAGACGCGGACAAACAGAAATTATCGAAGCGTACATTCGCGCGCTCGAGTGATAAATCTTAGACGATGCACCTAGCTAATTTTATTGCGCAGACCCTAGTTCCAGATACATCTAGCGCGCATCGATGAGAATCATGCATCTATAGCTCTACAAGTGCTCGCTACTCCTTACTATCGTCCTCGGCTTCGTCGTAATCGGCGGGATCAAACGACACCGGCGCCTCGTCGAGCGCCGACTTTCCATCCTTCCCCTCCGATCCATCCTCGAACGCAAGCTCGCCCTTCATCTTCATTCGCTCCCTGCGAAGTAATTCTTGCGCCTTTTCGCTCCGCAGGAACATATCCCGAACCTTTTCCTCCTGCTCGTTCGCGACGCGAACGATGGCGATGGGATTCGGGTCGTCATTCGCCCAGCGTACGTTGAGCGGCTCCGCGGAGTCGTCCGTCCACAACGTCTGCCCCGCCATCGCTTCCTTGGCGAATTCGGCAGATGCGCGAAACTTATATCGAACGAACGCGAACCGCCGCTCAAACTTCACGGTTACGTCCTCGATGGGACCGAACTCGCCGAACTGGTTCGCGACTTCTTCGTACACCTTCCTCGCCCCCCACTTTGGATCCACGGCGCCACCGAAGAACATGTACAGCGTGCGACCGATTCGCATGTATGATCCCGTGCCACCGTTATCGTCTCGCTCAGTGTGATGCTTCGGCCGCCCGAATATATCGTACATCATGTGATTAGTCGCGTCGTCGAACGCCGTCGGCAACCTATGCAAGTACTCGCACGCCGCCCCCACGGTGCAACACCCTCGAGCGAAGTGCACGCACACCGAGCTCGTTCCATTCCCATCTCCCTTCGTCACGCCCGCGTCTAAGATCGGTGCGCACCGCGTCGTCGCCTTCACCGCCGAGTTAAAATCCCGCGCCGTCGACCCGCTCGCCGTCGCGTGCTTCCCCCACCACACGTTAAAGTCTCCCTTCGCGTCGTCCGATCGATGTCGAATCCTCGGCCCCGTCTCCGGATCGTACTGCGTGCGCGCCGGGCGCGATTTCGACGCGCGCTCGCCCTCTCGCGTCCACATCTTCATTGAAAAATCCACCCCATCCTCCACCGGGAGTTCAAACGCGGCACCGTCGCCGTCGTCCTCGCGCGCGCGCTTCTCCGCTCGACGCGGCGGCGGCGGCGGCGGGCGCTTCCCCGCGTACGTCTCCGCGGCGCCCATGGAGGGACGCGACGGATTCTCACGCGTGGTCCCGATGACACGCGACCGCACTCATGCTCACGCTCATCTCCACCGCGCGCTCGCCCGAGACGCGCGCGCGTCCGAGCGACGACGCGTCGCCGCGGCGCACGCCCGGGCCCTCGCGCTCGGGCGAGCGCTCGGGCGCGAACGACGGAGGGACGCGGGACGATGTGAATGATTCGAATGATGATGCATTTCGAACGGTCGACGAGGATGCATCGGCGCGGGACGTCGGCGCCGCGCACGTCGTGGACGGTGACGGCGCGTCGTGGGCGACGCAAAGTGTTCGTCGAGCGACGCTCGTGCACGATGGGACGTGCGTGATCAGCGTGCGGACGAAGGAGGAGGAGACGGGGGAGCGACGCGCGCGCGCGCGGGTGCGCGTCATGACCGGAGACGCGCGCGGGGACTCCATCGACGGTGATGCGAGCGGAGATGGGCGACGAGGCAATACCGGACGAATGGTGCGTGTACACGTGTCGTGCGACGATGATCCGTTCTTTTATCACGCGATGGAGGTGCGAGAGGAGGATTACGGAAAGCTTCGCGCCGAGCAGCGTTTGGTGGTAAACTTTGACGAATTCCCGCGAGCCTTGGTGCGGTTGATCAAGGCGTGCGATCGAGGCAGTGGCGCGAAGAACGTCTACGCGGTGTTGGACGTACCGAAAACGAATGATTCCGCGGCTTCGAGCACGCTGTCCATCGTGGAGACGAATGAGTTTAATCAGTTTACGCACGTGGCGTTGAAATTCAAACCGGCGTCGGATCGAGCGGCGAAACGCATATTGGCGGGTCTCCTGTTGGACGCGCGCGAGCGCGAGCGTGAGCTCAAACGCTTCGAGACACTCTACCGCGAGTCTCAAGACGCCCTGGAAGTCGCACGCGCGAAGTCAATCGAGTCGCAGATGAAGTACGCCGAGGCCTCTGCGACTGGTAAGCGAGAAATTTTAGACGAACTCGAGCGCGCGAGGGAGCGTTACGAGACCGATAAGCGAGAGCTTCGCAAGCGCATCGACGACACGAACGCAGAAAAGGGTGAGATTGAGCGCGAAAAGTTCGCGGCGCAGAACAAGGTGAGCGAGCTCGGAACCAAGCTCGGGTTGCTCGAGGGCGAGTTGTCCATCACAAAGCGCGAGCTCCAGCGCGTTCGCGAGGAGAACGCCGCGCTCGACGCCGAGGTGCACGAGCGCGATAAGGCGCACAGCTCTCGCGCTTTGCGTGTTGAATGGCTCGAGAAGCAACTCGAGGACAAGGAGGAGGTGATTCAGCTCTTCAAATCTAGACTCGACGCGAGCGAGGAGCACAAGGTGGCGCTCGCGAGCTCGTGGGAGCAAGCGCGACAGTCGCTCGGCAAGGCGGAGGAGCGCCTTGCAGCGAGCGCGGCGGAGATCACGAAAGGAAACGAAATAATCGAGACGCTTCAGAGCGAGACGCGCGCGGCGAAGAGTAAGGCGAAGATCCAGGCCGCGGTGATCAAGCGCCAAGAGGCGCTCCTCGAGGAACGCCTCACGAGCGTGGAATCCGCCGCGGGCGAGCGCGCCGAGCACTCGCTCGAGACTCGCGAGCTCGAGGACCGCATCCGCGCCCTGACGGACGAAAAAGCCGAGCTGAACACTAAACTCGCCGAGTCCCACGCGTTACTCCAGAGTAACCAACAAGTGATCGAGTGGTTGAACTCGGAGCTCAACGCCGCCGCGCTCGGGCGCGCGGTCACACCGCGCCCCGCGCGCGACCCCCCGCGGTCGCCCTTGATCGACTTATCCTCACCCCCCCCCGCGGCGTGATCGCCCGATATAATAACACGACGTACCCGCGTACTCCCGCACATCAACGCATCGATCGACGCTGTCGATCGACGCGCCGTCCTTCGTCCGCCGCGCGCAGAGGGGAACAAAGCCCTCGACGGCGCGATGTGATTTCTCGCACCTTTTCCCCCGCCACGGTCTGAGACCTCACTCGACGCGACGCCCTCTCGCGCACGGTGCGTCGAACGCGACGCGCGCGCGCGACGGCGTCGAACATCGCGCGACGGTGGACGACGCGACGGCGCGGTCGACGCGCGCGCGCGACGGCGACGACGGATCGATGTGTATTTTTTGATTTTTTTTAATTCCGATGCGAATGCGCGCGCGCGCGATGGCGTCGGGCGTCGCGTCGGGGACCACGCGCGCGGGCGCATCGCGTGGGGTTGGATGGGCACGATGCGGTGGTCGTTTCGGGACCGCGCGCGACGGCGTGGGAGGGACGGGCTTGGTGGTGGGCGCGATCGAGGGCGACGGGGCGTTTTGAAACGGCCAACGGCTCGTTGCGCCCCGTTCGGTGGTTTTGGGACGTCTCGCGTCGATCGGTGCGGCGTGGACGCGGACGACGGACGAGGGGGGGGTGAAAGCGCGCGCGCGTGGTCGTGCGAGGCGTGAACGACGCGGGATGCGATACTGACGGCGCGAAACTCTCTGAACGCGCGCGCGCAGTTTGAACGCATGAAAGCCGCGAAGTTCGCCGCCAAGGCTGCCGCCAAGAAGGCGCTCACGAAGATGGATTCCCCGCTCGCGCTCATCGCAGGTGTTACCGTTGGTGTGCTCGCGCTCGGTATTGTCGTGCAAGTGTTGCTGATTGTCGCGTCGTTGTTCTCGAGCAAGAGCGCGGCGAGCAGCGAGCGACCGAAGCGCGACCGAAAGCCGACGACCAAGGCGCTCGAAGCCGCCCCGGCGCCGAGAGCGAAGAAGGCTGCGCCGGCCAAGAAAACGTCCAGCTCCAACAAGGCTGCGCCGGCTAAGGCCGCCCCGGCCAAGGCCGCGCCGGCCAAGAAGACCTCCTCCAAGCCGAAGAAGGCGCCGGCGAAGAAGTCCTCCTCCAAGGGACTCGCGAGCCCGCGACGATCGACTCGCACCCCTACGAAGAAGCGATAAGCGGTATCGCCGTCTAAGGGTGGGTACAGAGGCGTCGGTGAGTCGAGCTCTGGTTGATTGAGGTCGCGCTCTCGTGTTCGAGAGGGCGAGGGGTGAAAAATCTGAAGTTTGGAGTAGAATGGCGCGCGCTCAGGGAGCCGTGCTCCGTTGTTGTCAATGCTCAGTCGTCGAATGTGTACCTGTGGGTATCTAGCTACTCACGAGGATTCATACGTAGAAGTATAAATGTTTTAAATGCCACTACTCACGTCAGGTGGAAACTGACATCGTTATATCGAGCGAGACGCGCGTGACGATGCGCATCTACGAAGCTTTTTCCCAGGTCCTAAGATTGATTATTGCAAGATGGATCACTACGAACCGCGACAATTAGCCACTTCACTCGCTCACATCACTTTCAAGTGGTTGTACTTACTGGCGTCGAGGTTGAGCTCGGTCATGAGCGCGTTCCAACGCGGCGGCTCTTCATCAAAAACGTACGTGAGCGGGAACGTAAGCACCCCGCTGCCACCCAAACCTCGAAGCTTCTTGACGGTCTCGTAAATGCGACCCTTCGGCACGGCGACGGAAACAGCGTAGTACTCGCCAGCCTTGCCTGACCCGTCCGGTTGCGGCGTGTACACGGGCGCGATGGTCGGACCCTGCAAGCCGCGCAGCGTGGCCGCGCTGTTGAGCTTTTCGGCCACAGCTTCGGCTGAGTCGCCTCGGACGTTCGCCGTCACCATGTACAAACTCTGAGCGCGAAGGTGAGCCTCAACGCGCTCGAGAAGTTCGTGAACAATCTCTAACAAGCCTTCGCGCTTTAACATCGCCTCTCTAGAGGCGACCAACACCCCTTGGCTTTCGAGCACGCGCCCGCCCTCGATCTCCTTCAAGTTGTTCTCTCTGAGCGTTGTCCCGCTGCTCACCAAATCGAGAATGCAGTCGGCGGCACCCATGGCCGGCGCCGCTTCCAATGCCCCATCCGCGGTGAGAATTTCCACGAATTCGAATCCAATGTCCTTGAAAAATTGTTCCGCGACGTTCGGGTACGCGGTGACCACGCGCAGCGGGCGCTGCGGCCCCCACTTAGGGAGCGCAATCAGCTCTCGCATGCTGTTGATCTCATCCCAAGCCTGCGGAATGCCCACGGCGAGGTGGCATCCACCAAATCCGAGAGCATCGTGCACGATGACGATGTCGTCGTTCCCGTACGCAATCTCAGCTAACATGTCATACCCGACGATGCCAATGTCAATGTCGCCCGAGACAATCTTACGCACCACGTCTGTCGCCCGCTGAAACCACACTTCCATGCCCGGCACGCTCGGAATCTCCGCAGCGTACTGTCGCGGATTCAACTTCTTTACCGGAAGCTGGCACGTGGCCAAGAGCGCCATCGTATCCTCCGCCATGCGACCCTTTGAGGGGATCCCCATGCGGATAGCGCTGCGAGACTCCACGGGCTTACGGAACACTGCGCCGGGTAACGAAGCGCGCGTTTCGGTCAGTCTCATCCCTCCACGTCTTCGCCCACACACGTCGCGCATCATTCATCTCCACTCCACCCCCTCAACCACCCCGCACGCGCTCACACGATCGACGCGCCGTCCCGTCGCGACCTCCCGACGGGATCTCCCTATCCGCCCCGTCCCCGTCGATCTTCCGACACCCCTCCCGCGCGTCACGCGTCCTCGTTCCCTCATCACACCGCGCGCGCGGTCGACCACATCCATCGACGTCCACGCACCCTTCCCGTTCGGCTTCTCCGTCGCGCGAATCGACGCTCGGACGCCCCGACGATCGATCGCTCGCGCCGAGGACATCCCCCGCGTCGTCGTCGGCATCTTCGTGCCCACCACGGCGTGTCTCGCGGTGAACCGCGCGAGGGGCACCGCGGGCGCGCGCGCGGACGTGCGCGACATCCTCGGCGCGCGCGACGACCTCGAGCGACGCGCGCGTGTGCGGGACCGTCGCGGGCGCGCTCGACCCTTCGGGGTGCGAAATCGGCGCCGCGCGGGTGTGTGTTTTTAGGGTCCGCGTCAGCGCCACCCGGGTGTGTGCGACCGCACGAACCGTCACCGCGACGCCCGCGCGATCGCCCCGCGCGCGACGACGGCCGACGGCCGACGGCCATGCGCGCGCGCGGTGGGAAAGCGCTCTGGGTGGACTGCGACCCAGGGCACGACGACGCGTTCGCGTTGTACCTCGCGGCGTGGGGACGGGGTGACGGTGAGGCGTCGAACGCGACGATGGTGGACGGTGACGACGGCGCGGCGTCGCTCGTTCTCGCGGGCGTGTCCACGGTGGCGGGGAATCAGAGCATCGAGAAGACGACGGCGAACGCGAGACGGGTGTTGCGTTGGATCGATTGGGGCGGCGCGCGACGGCGCGGGCGCGGGTGTCGGGACTTCGCGACGGCGAACTGCCGCGTGTACGAAGGGGCCGGGCGACCTTTGCTGCGAGAGGCGAAGATTTGTGAGGAGATTCATGGGCAGAGTGGTCTGGATGCGGTGGACGGGACTTGTGCGTTGCCAGAGCTTACGGCTGAGGAAAAGCGTTACGTGACAGTGAGCGACGAGCCGGCCGCCGTGGCCATGTTCAAGGCTATCAAAGACGCGGAAGGAGACCTCATCATCGTCGCGACGGGACCGTTGACGAACGTGGCGTTGATGATTTCAGTGTTTAGAAAAGAGCTGAATGCGCTCCCGAAGCCTCCGACGATATTTTTCATGGGGGGCGCCGTGGGCGAAGGAAACACGGGCGCGCGAGCGGAGTTTAACATACAATGCGATCCTGAGGCGGCAAAGATAGTCCTAGAAAGCGGACTTCCCTTATACATGATCCCACTCGAGGTCACACACACTGCACTAGTCACTCCAGAGGTCCTTGCGATGTTGCGAGCGAAGGCATTGCTACATTCGTCAGGCGAAGACCACGCGAACAGAATCGAAGCGTTGCTGACATTTTTCGCCAAGACGTACAAGGATGTCTTCGAATTCGATCACCCACCGCTCCACGACCCATGCGCGGTGTGGGCGGCGATAGAATTCGCGCACGCCGAACACAACGGCTTGCCGTCGTCTTTTGAGTACACGCTCGAGCGCGTAGATGTGGAGTGCGCTTCGCCGTTGACATATGGTCAAACGGTCGTCGATCGCTGGCGCACCAGTGGACGGCCCAACAATGTACGATTAGCTAGGAAGATGAACGTGAAAAGGTTTTGGAGCGCTCTCGCGGGAGCGATCGAACTGCACGCATCATTAGAACGCGCGCAAGTTGAATGGCCAGGCTCTGGCGAATGAAACGCACGGTGGTCTCTCCACAACCGTCGCCGCCAAAAGGCGCACCATCACATCGCGGCGCTCGAAAAATTTATCCCCACGCGCCAGCCGCGCGCGTACCGAGCGTCGTCGCCGCGCCCGCTCGCGCACCCAAACCGTCCTCGCGCATCCGTTCTCGCGTCGCGATGACGCGCGCGGACGCTCCGGGACCGAGCTCCGACGCGGACGCCTCCGCGGCTACCGATCCGCGTCGCATCCTCGTCGTCGGCGGCGGACGCGTCGGCGCTTACCTCGCTCGAGCGTTTCGTCGCGGTGAGACGGATGAAGTCGTGTTGAAGATGTCCAACAGAGGCGTGATCGCTGGCGAGGACAACACGCGAGCGGCTGCGCGCGCGATAGCGGCAGCGGCCGGTGCCACGGTCGTGCAAACGTACGAGGACGCGCGCGAGGTGAGGGAAAAAAACTTTGATTTTGCATTCATCGCGGTGAAGACGTACGCGCTGAAGGCGGTGAAGCGCGAGATGGACGAGGCTGGGATCTCCGCGGATGTCGTCGTGTTGGCGCACAACGGCATCGTGCCGCCGATGTTCGACGTGAACAAGTCCACGCGAGCGGTGATGCCGCAGTCGTGGGACATCGTGGAAACCCCTGGGGTAGGATGCGGGTACGAAATACACGTCAAGAACGAGGACAAACCGTGGGTGATGCCGAACACGGCGAGCGGACGCGCGGCGCACGATTTGTTAGCCGAGCGCGGCGTCCTGAGCGTCGCCACGGACGAGTTTGAGTACTTACTCCTGCGTAAATATTTCATCAATGGCGTCGCAAACTTGCTTGCCATCGTCGGCGACTGCAACTGCGACGGTTTACTTCAAAACCATCGCGAGCGCATGGATAAACTGTACGACGAAATGTTTGAGATTTTGCGTCAGCCGCACGCCGCCGGCTTCGCTCTCGCCCCTGAAAACTTTCGAGACGTAGTCTTCGAGGGTCTGGCGTCTTATCGAGACCATTTCCCTTCGACCAAGCTCGATTTCGACGCCGGCGCCAAGCTCGAGATCGACAGCCTCAACGGCTACGTCGTGCAGCTCGCCGAGGCCCAAGGCGTTCCGTGCGTCGAGCACGCGCGTCTCGTCGACGAAGTCCGAGCCTTGGTCGCCGCTCGCGACGCCGCGAAAGCGTAGGTTAATTCTTTTGTACCACTCACACGTCCCAGATTCCCAATCATCGCGCGCGCCCCGACGTCCGATCGATCGCTCCGCGTCCCGCCCGTCGCGCTCAAATGCAAGACTTTTAAACGAACGACTCGCGAGTCAAATCGTCATTACGCGCATGCCCACCGCTCCGGCGCAAGTCTCCGTCGCGCGCGTCGCTCTGTTTACCCTCATCGGCGCCGCGATCGGGTTCGAGATTCAACACTATCTCGAGCGCGCGCACAGGGATAAGCAACTCGCGGCGTACGAAAAATACTTGGAGCGGTTGGAGACTTCAAAGCGAAAGTGATTCGCATCTTGTACAGCTTGTGTGCTGGCTACGAGACGATCGAGGGGTTTGAACGCGATGCCGGCGCGCGCGGATGCGACGGGAGTGTCCGGAACGAGCCGGCGTAAGAGCTCGAGCATGGAGTTCGGCGTGGCGACGAACTGCGCACCGAACGAGCCGGTGGTTTTGAACGGGTACGAGTTCACGTTTGACGCGTGCGCGATCAAGGGCAAACGGCCGTACATGGAGGATCGGTGGTGCGCGGTGTTGGATGAGGATGTCGGGGCGTTTGTGTTGGCGGTGTACGATGGGCACGGTGGTTCGGCGGTGAGCTCACATTTGAGTAGACATTTGGCGCGAGAGATTTTGGGAGAGGATACGCTGCGGACAGATACGGAGGGAGCGTTGAAGCGCGTGTTCAAGCGCGTGGACGACCAAGTGTGCTTAGATAACCCGGGTAATATGCGTGGTATGTTTGGGACGCCGGGGGCGGGGTCGACGGCGATCATGGCGGTGATCATACCTCCGAAAATGTACGTCGCGAACCTCGGCGATTCTCGCGCAACGACGTACGATAATCGAGGATCAGTGACATTCGAATCCGCTGATCAACGCCCGGATGTACACGCGGAAAAGGAACGAATAGTAAAGGAAGGGGGCTTCGTAAAACGTGGCCGAGACGGGACGTGGCGAACTGGAGGTATCTTGGCGGTGTCGCGTGCGTTTGGCAACGCCGGTATCAAAAAGTTTCTTTCGGTCGAGCCAGAGGTATCCGTCATCGAGCTCGACATGGTGGATTCAATGATTCTGTGCTCAGATGGTCTCACCGACGTGATGAATAGTAAAATGGCGAGCGAAACTATGCGTGCGGCGCCGGTTGGCGCGACATCATCGTCTCCTTCGCCGGTTCGCACGCGAAGGGTGGCGAACTCGCTCGTAACGCTCGCTCGTGTTCGTCAAAGTAGAGACAACATAAGCGTAGTTGTGCTTCAATCGCGCCGATTAAACGGTGCGCTTGCCTTTCCGTCTTTGGAAACGCCGCTTAGTCTCACGAAGACTGCGTGTAGAACGCCCACGACCGTACAGTACGATCCGGCGGCGAGCGCGCAAGAAGATCCGAATGAGCACTCAGTCAGCGTGTCTCTCGTTGTCAAATCAGGAAATATCCGCGTCGTCTGTGACGCGCGCGCCACAAAAATGTCGAGTCGTGGCACTCGTTGTGAGGCGTCGGATGGACTATCGACGCCGATGCCGAATGTCGATCGTGAATCAACGCAAGCTATTACGCCCATCGGGCTCGTGCAAGCTGAGGCTGTCTAAAGGATTCGTGTTCGCCATTGGCTGTATCGCTGCTAGTAATTACAACTGTGTAACAATCGGACAATATTACGCTGCTTTCTGCATCATTTTTTTCTTGCTTGCTTGCTTGCGCGTCGCCTCGACACGCGCTTGTTTTTCCTTGGTTAAGACTCCGATGGCGTCGAAGTACGAGATGCCCGCCAGAACGTAAAACACAGGCGCGAGTAACAATGCGTGCCGCAAGTCGTACTTGTGGGCGAGGTAGGCCACTAAAAGTGGTCCTATTCCGGCAATCAGGTTTCTAACAGCCAGGTGCGTGGCCGCGGCGACGGACGGTGAGTCTGGCAAAGCCTCCCGCGTCATCACCGCCGTGGGAGCGCGGAATACTTCCGCGGCTAAGATGCCCGGGAACAAATATGCCAGGGACACCTTATAGTCATCGGCGAGGATTGAAGCCGCGAGAAGCGGGCCGGCCGCTATCGTCATCAACGAGATGAACCAACGCTGTCCTCTCGGACCGTGAGCCTGGAGCCTATCGCAAATCCATCCCCCTCCCAAGCCGCCGGTGACGCCTGCCAAAGGAATTATGAGCGCGAGGAGAGGATCGTACTCGGCCGGCGTAAGGTCGAATACGCGCTCGTAAAACGCCGCTTGGAAAGCAATCATGGACCAACCGGCGACGTCGACCAGCGTCGACGCAGTGGTCACACGTCTGAACGCCTTGCTCTCAAAGCACGCCGCCATGGACCCAAACAAACCGTCGTCTGTCTTGGGCTTGATAGGAACTGATTTATACTTGCCCATCATGCCGAGCTGTGTCGTCGTCGCCGTCACCGCCACGTTTCGTCTACTCGACTCGGAGTCAAGATCAAACTCGTCGTCGACTGATGCGCCCACGAGCGCGACTAAACCACCATTATCGATAGTTGGTAAGTTCTCAAACATCTTCTCTCGCTCTCTGCTCTTCTCTCGCTCGAGCGCTCGCTGGCGACGCTTCATCGCTCGCGATCCGGTGGACGTGCGTCCCGGATCTGTAATCGTGAACAAGATGAGAGGAGCTATCAATAGCCCCGGGAACGCGACGAGATCGAAGATCTCGTGCCAAGACATGCCGGACTTCATCAACGCCGGACCGACGGTGTTCTCGAGCACCGTCCCAACGTTTGGAGTCAACACAACAGAATCGGCGGTGGTGTACAAGATCGTGTGCGCACCCAACGCACCGATTTCGGTGAGGTACGTGAGCGGAAGCGTGATGGGCTCGTTCGTCAATATATGCTGCTCCGAGCCCGGGGGCGCGATTGCGCGTCCGACGAACGCCCCGCTCGCGAAACTCACTGCTCGTCCGGCGTGAATGGCCAAGTTGTACGCGCTAAGCGCCAACGCCTTGTTCCTAGGGAACATTTCTGGAATCATACTAAAGGCCACCGGATTCTGAGCCCCGTTTCCGATCGCAAACAACCCCCTCGACACCACTAACGCCGCAAAGTTCTGTGAGTGCGCCGTCATGAAGGATGCGAGCGTCCACGTAGCCGCCCCCGCGGTGAGCAAATTTTTCCGATCCACCTTATCTGCCAGCACCCCTATGAATGGCAACAACAAGGAGTAAATCACCGTGAATAGCGTCGTGAGCAAAGCTCCTTGCTCGTCGTCTAGTTTGAGCTCCACGCTCATCGCCGGGAGCAGACTCGGTAACAGGAACCCCGTGGCGCTCGCGTGACAATACGCAACCGTGAGCAACCCCAGCGCCCACGCCGCGCGCCGCTCCGCCTCGTTTCGAAACATCGACGTTTCTCCCGATCCCATGAACGCGTTTCCATCCTCCTCTTCCACGAACTCCCCGCTCGGAAATCCGTCGCCCGTCGTCTCCGCGCCCCGCGCGTCCCGACAATTCTCATCCGCGCTCATCGACGGTTCTCGCACCGCCCTCGACCGATACCCCCCCCGCGCGCCGTCGCTCGACGCCCACCGTCGCCCGTCCGTCGCCCCCCCCCGCGCGCGCACCGCGTCGCCCGC